ACATTAAAGAACTCAGTATTCAAATGTCTATAAAGCTACTCTTATTAAGGGTTTGTAAAATTACAATAGATTTAAATATTACAATAGATTGTAAAATATATAGATGCAAACAATATATTGATATCTTTATTTTCCTGCTTATAAATATAAAAATACGATATATTTCGTATACACATATATAATATATATACGATACATTTTGTTAAAATACGGTTTAAATATACTATATTTATTAAAAAACATACTATCATACAACATTTACTAAGAAAATCATTTAATCTTTATTCAGAATTCTTTTCATCGGATTTCCCCATTTTTTGTGAAAAAAATATTTGTTTCAACTTTAACAGGATTGTGCCACGTCTTTCTGTTATTCGATCGAGCTCAACTTTTACACAATTTTTTTTTCACCAAATGGAAAACTTTAGAGGGCGTCGAAAAAAATCAGAAAAAATTTTTCATCAAGTATAAATAAGGTCCACCCTAATGTATATGTAATAGAAGCAAATTTCAAGCAGGTACATTAGAAACATTTAATGTTAATGAAAACGAAATTACAACTAACTCAAATCTAATGTTCATATGCATTAAATTTCATGCATATCCACATGGACACTTATACTTTTCCACGAAGTTTTCATACGTTTACACATGTTCACAAATATACTTTTCAGTTACATTAAATTTAATGTACTTGTAACGTAAAAGTACATTACATTTCATGACATTTTTAACAATGTAGTTACGAAATTACGACGGTCAGTAATTGCGTACACTTATACTACTAAAGTTTCAGACTGTAACCAAATCTGTCATGAATAAATTTTGAAAATGTCTGTACATTTTGTTAATAGAATTCCAGGAGAAATATGATAGAATCTGCTAATAAAATATAGTGATAGAGATTACAGAAACTGAATAGGAATTTGCTGTTTTATAAGCTTTTAAATGATGCTTTTATTTCATTTAAATGTTTATGATTAGAGTTTATGACAGATTCCATTCAATTGTCTGCTGACAATCTGCTGTCAGATTATATTGGTAGGCAAAACATAAATTTAATGCAGATACAGATAATATCGTATTCGTTGCAAAATCCGTCATACTGAACAGTTTGCTTACTGACGAGCAAATCTATATTCTATCCAAGTGTAACTCTTCGATTTCTTTCAAATTTGGCATAAACATAGAACTATGAAAAATATTTTACTCATGTCTTTCCAGTTTGGCTCATTTATTTTGAGGACAGTTATTACCACTTCAATTTTCACTCTTTATTAGCTATAGATATAATAATAATAATAATATCTAACAAATAATTTAATACAAGATATCGGAGTTCTTTGGATTGCTTATCACGAATATAAAATCAGATTGCAAAATTATTTACTTAAAAAAATGTTTAAAATTAGAAAATTTGAAAAAAATACTATATAGCGACGTGACTTATGAATAAGTTATTTGGATAAATGATTTTTAACGCGACTTTAAATTTATAAAATAAATTGTTTTAATTTATTTATGAGCAATAAACGGTTCATACAAATCAGCAACAGGGTTGAAAAAAATTAAAGTAAGTACCTTGTAGAGATAGAAACTCGTTCCTTGCCGAAACAGAAAATAACGGAAGGAGAATATTTATTTCTATATTTGGAAGAAAGCTGTTTGAACTTCTTTTAATACATATGTTGCAATATGTATTTTTTCAATTTTCTTGCTAACTTGTTTAAACATTTTTTATTTAAGTGAATAACTTTGCAAATCTAATTTTATATTCGTAATTAGCGATCCAAACAATTCCGATATCTTGTATTAAATTATTTATTAGATACTATTATTATATTTATAGCTCATATGAGGGTAAAATTGAATTGATAATAACTGTCCTTAAAACCGCATATGGGTCAAAATGGAAAGACATGTATTAAATATTTTTCATAGTTCTACATTTATACCAAATTTTAAAAAATCGGAAAATTATACTTGGGTAGGTTTACTTGTGTTGTTTGTTTATATTAATATTTTACATTATCAGTAAATACGTTAAAAAGATAAGACAATTGGTATTTTTACTAGCAAATATAATTATATATTAGTACGCGCTTGAAATGCGCAACCACTAACATTATCGATGCACTCATGGATATGTTTCCATTTAACTGTAATTTATAATTGGCTAAATTTAAACTCTTATGATCTAAAAACTACTGCTTAAAATATAAATTTAAATATAAATTTAATATAATAAATATAAATAAAATATAAATTTACAAATAACTTTTTTACTTAATTTTTCGAAGACTTTCCTGCTATGATATTTTGATTCGTGAATTTTGGGATACCCTGTATATATATATATGTATATATATATATTTTATAATATATTAAAAATTTCTTAATAAATTAAATATATACTAATAATATATGAATACTTAAATATATATATATATATATATATATATGTATATATAAGAAAATATTTTTAATATATCAAATATAATAAGTTATAATATATTTGTAGACTTATCAAGCAATAGACTAGAACCCAACATGGAAGATGTACCAGTGCCCTCAGAGAATACATTTGATGTGACATTACCAGCAACACATTCTGTAAATATATATTTTTTTAGTATTTTGAAGATAATATTTAATACAATATTAGTCATGCTAATTTGCAACGTAAGTTAAAAATTCTATAAAATTGAATATATTTTGCATAGTATTTAGGACAAAATTTGGAGGAATTGAGGGGAAGGACTATACTGGATGATGGCATTTATATGAATCTACCATTATTAGTAAAGCAGTCTGTATTATTCCCCGGACAAACTTTACCCATGACAGTCTTTGGCACACAGACTATAGAGATGCTACAAACTTGTATACAAAATGATCGTACTTTCGGTGTCGTGTGTTACGGTCATTCCGAGATGGAGCGGATAGGAACGACTGCTGAAATTTACGAATATACGGATGGAGGTATATGGTTGGATCATGGTCGGCGAGAATTTCGTTTAAAAGCCAAAGGCAGGCAACGCTTTAAGATATTACGTGTTATCACACAGGTTGGTTTCTATATTAAATGTATACGAATTATGTTTACAACTACTGTTAGATTATATATTTGATTATTTGAAAAATTTGAATCACTTTTTAATAAAAGACCAACAAATCATGTAAAAACTATTAATTTGAGAAGATATTTTCAAATATTTTTGATAAAAATTATTAGTCACATTTAGGGAGTTTTAACGGAATTTTACATATGAAAGAATGTATATTTTTTGTTCAATTTAATGCCTTTTTATTTAAAATTTGTGAAAATGCCGCAAAAGCAACAAGAACATATGTATAAAGATGATATTATAGAGTTGAATTAATCAAATTGATTGAATGAATATATATTTAGTCATGTAAATATTGTTAATTTTTTCTTAAAAGTTTCTACACACTTTCAAAATAATTTAATTACATATAAGAGTAACTGCTGAATAAGCTACGATTTAACAACTTCAGTATGTTTTAAGCTTAGGATATTGTAGAATTTTAATTTTAGATAATATAGTATTATTTTAGTTATACACTTTACGATATTCTGGGTTTATTACAATTTGTTTGACAGTTTGATATTTACTTATAATCAGGACAACAATAAAATTTCGGCCAATGTTAAAGTATTACCGGAGATAACGCTTCAACCACCGTTTTTGGACCAACGCTTGGCTTCATTAGATCACTTGAGAATTGCTATCGATTCTGAAGAAGATATGAAAAAGCAGGAAAGAATAGAAAACAAGGATGCTGCAGTAACTGCTTGGCCAGCTTGGGTTTATAGGCAGTACGATCCTGTAAGACTGTCTTTCAGGATACGTCAGCATCTGCAATTTCTTGAGACTAGTAAGTGTGCAGTTGTTTAAATAAAAATTAGATTTCAACGTTTATTGCAATTTTTTTTAAATTATAATCTACATTTTAGGAGGTGGTAGCGTGCCCAAAGATCCCATAGATTTATCCTTTTGGGTTGCACAAAATATCCTAATGGATCACAATGAAAGACTTACGCTATTAACTTATGACTGTGCTATTTCTCGATTGCAAAGAGAAATGAAATATCTCGTAGAGGTGCGTATGAAATAACATATTGTATAATTAGTAGTATTGGGTTGGCAAATAAGTTCGTTCGGTTTTCGTTTTAGTGCAGATTCATTCCGATTTACTTTTTTTTTCTGCTATTGCACAACTCGAATGTGCATTTGTTTTACACAACTCAGCAAACGGAAATGGATTAAAATAGGTTGAAAAATCTCGTTTATCTCAAATGTTTGCGAATACGCCGAAAATCTGAATCCATTTTAATGCCTTTGTGTTCATTTATAGGAATTACATGATTTTCTATGCCATTCAATCTAAAAGTAAGTTTAGTTTTAAAAAATAAATCGTGAATACGGGTTAATTTAAAATTCTAGATAGAAAATACAGCTTTTCAGTCTTAATTAAATTTAAACAAATATATAGTTTCCGTGAAAATGAATCATGAACGTTATTTAATTAAAAATTGTGACTAGGAAATGCATTGTTTTAATTTATCAAATCCAAAAGTATATTAATATTATAGTAAAAATATTAAATTATATTTGTATTATGAAATAGAAATGCATTTCCACGGAGGCCAATCGATTTCAATGAATTTAAATCCACGAATTTAAAAATTTTAATCCATTTTAATCCTTTTCCGTTTACTGGGAATCTGCCTCTGAATTTTGGTTTGGCTAACTTCGGTATTGTTACATGCTGCGTAGCTGTGAAAATGGAAATAAATAACGTTTATCATCATATTTTGCTCTATTATATTAAAAAAGCAAATGATCTGCAGAGACTAGAAAGTATATGGGGATGATGCTTTAACAGAGCGGACATTAAGTTGGTGATGTCAAATTCCGTTCTGGAAATCGTTTGCCTTTTTTGATATAATAGAGCAAAATATAACGATAATGCACGTTATTTATTTCCATCTTCATAGCTGCGCAGCACGAAACAATACTGAAGTTAGCAACACCAAAATTCACAGACAGGTTGTGTAAAATAAATGCACATTCGAGTTGTGCAATAGCGCCAAGAAAAAAAAAGAGTAAATCGGAATAAACCTGCGCTGAAGCGAAAACCGAACGAACTTACTTGCCAACCCAATATATAGACTGCATTTCTTATACATTGCCTTTAATATCAATGTCTGTTTCAAGGATAAGATATACGTATGCGTCAATTGTGAATCCTTCATTGGGAGACAGTCACACATGTTTCCGATGAATAAAGAAGGTCCACAGGGTACTTATGTCAATCCCGGTGGTGTTATACACGAAACTATAACGTTTTATCATGTTCAAGGCGTCGTACTTAACAATTCGGATCCCTCGACTGAGTATAGCTGGTTTCCAGGGTAAAATGCAACATTCTAGCATGTCAAATTATAAGTGAATTTCATTTTATCTTTAATATGCCCATATTGTTTTAGATATGCTTGGACAATAGCTATCTGTAAAGGCTGTCGTCATCATGTCGGTTGGAAGTTCACGGCAGTGCAAAGTAATTTAAGGCCCAAAGAATTTTGGGGTTTGACACGCAGCAGTTTGAAGAATAAAGATCTAAAAGTTAAGAAGAAGAAATAAAAAAAAGGGATAAAAAAATGGATGTACACTAGGCATTGTAAATGTTAGCAGTTATTAGATATTTTTCAAAGCGGTGCGTCATGTTGATGTATATTACAATCGGTACATTATTTTGAGAGGTAATCGATAATCAGTTTGCATACCAAAAGATTATATTTTATAAAAGTGATTTTTTTTTTATACGAGATAGTCTCCAACTCGAGAAAATCGTTCAGCGCATTTTTATAAAGACGAAGATAAATAAGAATTCTTTAAAATATGAGATATAATGTAAAATATACTTGCTATATATATTTTTGTTTAGTTTAACTTTTATCCTTGATTTGAAAACGCAAGCGAGCCAAATCTTGATTTTCCATTTCGTTTGGATGGTATGTGTGTAATATTTCAATTGTATGCACATTTTCATTTTTCTATTTACATATGGCTAAGTAGTAAATATAACATAGTGAAAAAGCAGCGCAAAAGAGACGATTTCTTCGGTAAGGGAGGTTAAAAGTATACTAAGAATGTAAAAAAATAAAAATAAAAATAGGGACTGTGACTGTTATTTTTTTATTCTAAATCATATACGATCATTTGAGAATAAATTGTTTTCCGAAAATTCTCTTATTTAATATATTAATATAAGAAAAAAAGAAATATTTACGACGCTTAATATATAAATTGTGTATTGATTTTGTTTGATTTGTAATTTAACTAGTTAAGCTTGGACAATAGTGATTTGTAAAAGATACTTTATATAGCATAGTTGTATTAATAATAATTTAAGTTATAATACAGAAGAATTTAAAATAATTTATTGATGCTACTGCAAATTGGTCAGCTAATTTTGCAATTAATCAAACTATAAAAAAATCTGTTTTGATGGTGTTATTGAAAACTAAGTAAAAGTTACATTAAGATATATATATATATATATAAATCTTATTTTATACTCTTAATGCTATATACAAGATAATTCAATTATATTGATACCTGTTAAATATTTTCACGTTCTATTTAATTACGAGTTTATACATTTTTTTGCTCGTGCAATGAGTGACAAAAAATTTCAAATATAATATTGATAAAATAATATAATCCAATTAAGAAAATATACAAAATTGTATTTATTATTATATATAATGTGCATATGTATGTACATGTGTATATGCAAGTATATATTATATGTATGATATATATGCATTTTTATACACTTGCTTTATAATATAATATATACAGTATGCATATGTAAACATATATATACATATATATATATGTATATGTATTTGTTTTAAAATTTTATTGTAATTTATTAAAAATAAATCTGAGTTAAAAGTAAAAAGAAATGTATAAATGTATAATTAAAATAAAAATCTGTATGAATTTTACACAAGAATAATTCATTCAATATGAAATATTAAACATGTGTGAGTACGTTGTAATGAGTAAAATTATATCTAATCAAAATTTTAAAATTTATTTATTAAATAAGAAATAAGTATGAAATTTATTGCATATAAGTAGTATATAATAAATTATATATTCATTATTAATTCATTATAAATTATATATTATTCATTATATATTCATTATTAATTCATTATAAATTATATATTCATTATTAATATATGTATATTATTATATTATTATTATTATTAATTATATAAAGTTTATTTTTCACTCAATCCTTTCAACAATTGTCAAACCATGAGTTTTCTTGCTTAAATAGACTTCGAAAAATTATATATTTATATTATAAAATAATAATTATTTATTTATATATATATATTTTTTTTTATTAATAATTAAAAATAAGATTTTTTGTTTACTCAATTTATGGCTTATATAAAGATTTACAGGTTTTTTTAATTTTTACTAAAAAAATACGATTTACCATAATGTTGGCTCACTCAATAATACACAATTCCTTTCTTTTGTTTCTACATTGCAAATACTAAGTAAAAATCGCTACATACATATATGATCCAAATTGAAGGCGGCCCAATGAGAAACGTTACTGATAGTATTACTTAATTTGGATACTATAATAAAAAATTGCTTCTTTAAGTGACATAGTAATTATTATCTAATACATATTTCTAATAATTATTAATTTTAATAATCGTATGTAAATATTTAACCATTTAGATTTGAAATAGTGGGCATCTCATGTTACGCTGCATTTTCCCGAGAGATGGCGCTTTGTACGTTCATTCGAGTTACGCAACTAGTTACCCGAACTAGCAGAGTTCAGAGTTGAAGATGTTTTTGAGTTTTCTAAACACCATTCTAACCTGAATCTGAACCAGAGGATCATTCATTTTTTTAAAGACATACAGTTTCCACAGAAATAGAAAAAAAAAGAAAGTGAAAATAAAGCGACATTGACTCTTATAAATAAGAGATTCGTTAGAGAAATAGAAATCCAAATTTTGCTAAGAATGGACGAGGATGCGCGCACGCTCTATTGTGGAAATCTAAGTGAGAAGGTCACAGACGATATTCTCTATGAATTATTCTTGCAAGTTAGTATAATTAGTACATACCAAAAAATTAGTATATAATGATTCTAGAGTAGTAATATATATTGAAATCTGTAAGAATAATTGTTTTGTATCTCATACATGTAAATTTTACGTAGCATGTTTGATAACCATGTTATCAAGCGGATTGCAGTATTTGTTAGAAATTTTGTAGATAGAATAATTTAATTTTGGCAGGTTTTGCCATGTGCAATGTTGTTAGTGAAATATCCGCAAAATTTATCAGCAGTGGTGGCAAAAATCAGATTTAAAAAATCATTTAACTGTAAATTTGTTTTTCATGTATTATTATATTATATTATGTTTGTAAGAGCTTCCAACTGGAAATCTTAACACAGATACATTTAAATGTAACCTACTACAATTTCTGCAAGCTTCTGTCGGCAAATTGACAATTACTTACTCAGGGTGGGTATTACTGGGGAAACAAAAAAAAATATATATGTATATATATATATAT